CCCCAAAACCCCAAAACCCCAAAACCCCAAAACCCCAGTTAGCAAGTTTTTGGTTGAAAATTATATGTTAGATTGATATTCCCTGCTGAGGTCGATCTGGGCTTTTGAGATTTGCCATTCGTAAGGCTTGTGTCTTTCTCTAGAATATTAGAGGTTTATGAGTACTCGTAAGTTCTGAATAAGGAGTCTACTTCGTCATCGCCGAAAGGGGAATACTTGCCCTCGCCAGCGCTAGATTTTATTATAAAATTCTTACTATGTGCTTTTAGGGATATATAAATCATCTTGGTTTGGAATTCTTCTAAAAATTATGGAATTCGCTTACTTCTCTCTGTGTGATTCTAGCTCAAATATATTATCAGTCTTCTTAAAATCCCACATGTTTCTAATCTCTGTTGTGACTGAAGAAGGCCTAGAAGAGACCATTGCTGATGAATAGTTCCTATCAAGCTCTTTCAAGCTCTTCTCTGTAATTACTCCCAAATTTTCAGCAAAATTGCTTCTTGAGGTAAGAAATGAGTCCTGAATTTTCCCACTCTGGCTTGTATTTAATCTATGAGTCTCATAAAGAGAGGTCTTGTCAACAAGCGTTCTTGTTCTATTTCTGTCAAGGTATTCAACGCTATCAACTCTGTAGTCAACTTCGTTGTTAGACTTCTTTCCTGCAGGCTTCATTGTCATTGGATCTATTTTCTGCTTGGAGCTTGTGTTCTTTCTACTTAAGCTTCTAAAATTTATTGAATCAAAAATACCTGAAATCACTCCTATTAGGCTGCTTTTCTTCTGTAAGGGACCTGAACCTGGTTGGCTCAGTTCTTACTCTCTCATGCAAGAACTTCTTCGATTTCATATTGGTGACGAAGTTTGAAGTCGAGCAACCAATCCTGAATGTGTTTATCAACGAGCTAAGCTTAGATCTGATTAAATTCTCATCAGAAAGACCTTTGATTATTGAATCCTCTAGTGCAACTAATTTTGATACTAAGGAGTTGTGCTCAAATTGTAAGGTATCGAGTTGATCTTTATACTGTAAAACTTCTCTTTCTGCCTTTTGTAATCTATTCCTAAGATCATAATTTTCTTCTTTGTACTGGTCTTCATTCTTATGTCAAAACTTAAGGTTGTTATGAGTAAGTGTAAGCTCCCTTTTAAGTGATTCTACCTCAGCTAAGTTCTCTTTGAGTATTACTCCTGCTTTGAGCTTTCTTTCACGGAGCATATCATTCTCTGCTTTTAAAGTAGAGCTTTCAGATTTTAAAACACCAACTTTATATTCCAGTGCTGATTCTCTCTGTTTGTACTGCTTAATTTCGTGTATCAAAGAATCATTTCTAACATTCAGATCATCGATATGAGCTTCTCTCTTTCCAAGTTGGCTATCGAGATCTGTGACTGTGTTCACTAGCTTGGTAATCTTGGTATATAGATCTTTCTGAGCTTCAGTAGACTGCATATTATTAGCTTGGTCCTGTAATAATCTGTTTTCAAGATCAAGCTTAACAGACTTTAACTTCCTAATTTCATCATTTTTCTCCTGAATGACTCTATTAAATTTCTGAGTTGCTTTCTCAAAATTGATTCTCTCCTTTTCAAGGCTCTTCTTCAGCTCAGATTTAGTTGTAGCGCTTGAATCTATTGAGCGCTTAGCCTTAGCCAGGTCTTCATGAGACTTCCTGAGCTTGATCTCCAGATTTCCAGCCTTTTCATACAGCTCAGTATTTTTCTTGAGTGTGGCTTGGAACTCATTATTAACCTCTTTTAACATCTTTTCATACCGTTCAACTTCCTGATTACCTTTCCGGCCTTCGTGCAAGAAGTATTCCTCTTTAGTCACAGTGGAATATTTAGAAGGAGGCATTCAAATTTGTTCGGTTTTTGAACTCTGAATCTTATTGTTCATCCCCCTACTTCTACTAGTCTTAGGCCTAGCAGTCACTGGCTGGTTTAGTTTCTTCACAGGAGTGGTGACCAAGGATTTCTTAGCAGGAAATTTCGTCTCTTTTCTAAAGAATTATTGGCAAATTACCTTTTACAGGTAGAGTTAGTTAAGCTTCTCTGTCTACCTGTCTTCGGAGTTTTATTTACATTCTGATAAGTCAACTTTAAGTGGTATGTAACTCTTTTTATACAGATCATGGGCATTTTTGATTTTTGTTCTAGCCTGGCTGGTATTGGAACTTTCCATCCTTGCAGAAGACTATGTTGGAAAGGTAAGAACACAGATAAATCGAGGAAATATCTTAATTACTTTAGTTATTCCGCCATTCTTGAATAATGGCTTCCTTGATTTCTTTGCTAATTTAGTCATCAATTGACTATATGTTGATCTTTTTGGCTTCTAAGTTTGAATGAGTCAGTAAACTTATTTTGGATATATAAAATTAAGTGAAAAACTAGGAGAATCGGGATTATTGCAGGTAAGAATAACAGCATTAACCTACCTCTTTACGAGCCGTTTGACTCTGACTACTCTCATCAACATTGATCATCACAGATTTGACATGTGAGAATCCTTCATTCTTTCCTTCTAAATAAGAAACTGAGGTCTTGAAAGATGTGTTTTTCTCTTTCTTCCTGAACACATCCTTTCTCTTTGGAAAAGCTCTAGACAGTGACATATTGTCTTCAATTTAATTTTATCTATAAGGGGTTTTGGGGTTTTGGGGTTTTGGGGTTTTGGGG